CATAGTCTCTTTTAGAGCATTCTATAGATCATTGTTCTCTTCTATAGTAAGATGTTATTCAGCTCTGAGTTGTTCAGCTGGAACCCAATCATCGTTGTAATTGAAAACTCTTTGTTGTTAAAGTTTAGTTTAGTTTAGTTTAAAGTTTATTTATAGGCCGCCCTTTTCCCTGGGGGGACTCAGGGCGGCTTACAACTCATAGGGAAGGGGGTACAAACAGTAACACATAAGAACAATACATAATTAAAATAGAACACAACATTCATACCATTCGGGTGGGGGTAAGTTACAACTTTAACCCCAGGCCTGACGGGATAGCCAGGTTTTAAGGGCTGCGCGGAAGGTCTGGAGGGTGGTGAGGGTACGAATCTCCACGGGAAGATCGTTCCAAAGGGTCGGAGCTACTACCGAGAAGGCTCTCCTCCGCGTAGTTGCCAGTCTACGCTGACTGGCAGATGGAACTCGGAGGAGTTACAGTAAAGGTAGACATTAAGACATATTTTGAGCAATGATTCTCTTAATATTGGCATTCTGTCTGCACTGATGGGAATAGAAGTCCAAAATAACTAATTAAGGGAGAACAATAGCAATAGAACTTAGATTTATATACTGCTTCATAGTGCTGTACTCTAAGCGGTTTATGGAGTCAGAATATGGTCCCCAACTATCTGGGTCCTCATTTTACCAACCTTGGAAGGATGGAAGGCTGAGTCAACCTTGAGCTGGTGAGACTTGAACTGCCAAATATTCTTCTTTTTCCTCTGTGGTAACAGATTGTGTAAAACATGTCTTGCGTAACTGAGGAAAACACAACTCAGCTGGCAATTATTATATGGTTGGAAAATTAACTCAGTCACAAGACTTGTAGGAAAGTTAGCATTTGTAACAAAAAAATGTCATTCTGAACAATAATTATTTTTTTAAAAGGACGTTTGAACTAATTCAGAGGCTGGGTCAAAACTAATTGGTTGTTGCCATAGAGCACAGTAAGGCAGATGTCAAAGCTGGTAGAATCAAGAAAGATGCTATTTACATCTTTTTTTCTCTTTCCATGGGAACTGATGCCCTTTGGCCAAATTCACCACACGGCTGTTTTGTGCAGTGACTTTGGTTCCCAATTTATGTTAAAACTGAGAGATGGGAAATTTGGTTGCTTTGATAGATATGTTTGAAAATCTGTTTGGAAACCTAAGGAACAGGTGGACAGCACAAACAAACCATTTGTCAGGACTGGAAATTTCCATCCCCCCCCCCCCCAAATTACATATGATATCTCTTTGCAGGCAGTTTTCAAAACTTTAGAATTACATTGCCTAAAGTTGGAGATCCTGTGGTTGTGACTTCTGTATTTGAATAAAGATTAATCACCACATATGGCTTGTGGAAATGTAGGTGATGTGACTTGGAATAATACTTATTTACTAGCACTTTATTTCAGTCATTGACCAATAAAAGTGCTAGTCAATAAGTATTATTCCAAATTTCTGTCTCTGCATGCTGCACTTACAGTAAGTGGGTGATTAAGTAGATTTCTTGGTTCAGCTTGTGTAGTTTCCATTCCAGTATGTGCCCAGCACTTCTCAAATATTGAATGATGAGCTAATGATAATGTTTTTCTTTCTTTGGCCCTTTTCATGCTTTGGTTTTTTTCGCCTGAATGGCTGTTTTGTTTTATTTTCTTATCTGATTCATTCTACCTGATCTCTCTCCATTAATGAAATTAATTCTTCTGACATATATTGTTAAACCTGAAATTTTCTTGCAGTCATAAATCAAAAAAAAGAAGAAAGAAACCAATTGAGAACTCATGTAGGCAATAAATAACTTATCATACCGGTACATGTATAATAAACCACATTTCTGAAGCACCTTTTGCGTAATTTATGTTTATAGTCAAACTTTATGATAATAGATCACTATTATAATAAGTATGAAGGTATGCAGTGGCTTCAGTCTTCAAAAGGAAATTGTACCTAGTTCTGCTGAGCTGCAGAACTGGCATGTACCCATAGAGAATGTCAGCATTTGCCTAGGCTGGCACAATGGGTAGGGGCAAGAAAAGCAGGCTGTAAGCGATAGAGAACCTCAAGCGGGTGCTGCTTAGGATAACTAATAAGCACCCACTGATTTAAACCCACCCATGGCGTTAAAGAAATATTTAATCTTTGTTTCTATCTAAGGGTTCATCTGGGTGCAAACGTTCAGCCCCCGCCCTTTTCCCCAAGGGAACCTGAGATGCCTCACCACAGATATGCTTTCTTGAAGGCAGCTACTCTCAATGCTGACAAATGTTGATGACAAGAAGGAAGATGTATCGCCTAGACCAGTGATGGCGAAACTTTTTGAGACCAAGTGTCCAAACCGCAACCCAAAACCCACGTATTTATCTCGGATTGCCAATACAGCAATTTAACCTGAATAATGAGGTTTTAGTTTAGAAAAAACAACTCAAACGTGGTTAGCTTCTTTTCTCTGAACCCCCCCCAATAACAGCGCTTACAGAGTATAAGATGCACCTTTCCCCCCTAAAAGAGCGTGGAAATGTTGGTATGTCTTATACACTGAATACAGCCATTTTTGCCTCCTGAAGCTCCACCCCCACATCCCATTTTTGTGAAAAATGGGTGAAAAACAGGGTTTTTTCCACCGAAATGGGGGTGTTTTTGCTTCCCCCACCCCCCAGAAGCACTCTGCAGGCTTCAGCAGGGCTGGGGAAAGGGAAAAATGCCCCCTTTTTGGTGAAAAATATGCGGGGGGTGGGAGTGTGAGGGCTTTGGGAAGCTGCTAGCAAGGCTTCCTGCCACCACCACCCCCTCACCCTGCACTAGCTCAGCATGGTGTTAAATGGCTTCGGAGGTGGAGGGCTTATGAAGCAGCTAGCAAGGCTCCCACACACACACACACTAGCCCAGGACAACTTACCATCAAGCCGGCGAGAAGCAGGAGCAACAAATGGAGATTCATAGAGCAGCCAAAAATTCAGCTTCTCACACAAGGTAAGAGGAGCTGAATCAACTTTTGGTTTCTGCGTGCATGCGCAGGCACCAATCAGCCTCTTGATGTACGCTGCTCAAAGGCACTTGTTGAGATGGGCAACTATAGAAATAATAAAATAATAAATAAAACAAATAAAATAAAATGTCTTAACTAATTTTTCAAGTGATTTTGGGATAAGCCTCATTCAACCCAATGGGTAGACTTGAGTAAATATATAAATCTCCCTTTGAAACGATGGAACCTTCATGATTTAGAAACATGGAAACTGAATTACAATGAAGATATATCTTTTCATTTTTAATGTATTTCCCACTTGGGGGAAGGGAAGTGATGAAAATCACATATTGCTTAACACAAATGTCAAAGATTAAGTCACAGTGATAACTCTGTAGCCAAGAGGCACAATCAAGAGCGAAATTATCTCTGTGACCATTTAGCACAGTGGTAGTCAACCTGGTCCCTACAGCCCACTAGCGGGGGTTCCAGCTTTCATGGTGGGCGGTAAGAGTTTGCTGTAACTCGGCTTTATAAATTTTATAAAGTAAAGTTACTTCCGTACTTTATAAATCAACATTACTGTGGAACCGGTTAGAAAATTTTACTACTAACAGAGATACAAAAGTAGGTGGTAGGTATAAAAAGGTTGACTACCCCTGATTTAGCACAAGGAGTGAATGAGAAATGATTCTAGATAAAAAGTTTCACAATTCAAAACATGTGTTAGGATAACTAATCAGCAGCCACTGATTTAAATCTACCCATGGTGTTAAAAAAATATTTAATATTTGTTTCTATCTAAGGGTTCATCTGAGTGCAAATTTTCAGCCCCCCCCTTTTCCCCAAGGGAACCTGAGATGCTTCACCACAGATATGCTTTCTTGAAGGCAGCTACTCTCAATGCTGACAAATGTTGATGACAAGAAGGAAGACCTGCAGTCTAGACAATGGTCTAATAAATGAAAATTGAGTCTGAAAGAGGAGGCTTGATGAAAACATGACAGAAAGCACCCGCCATAGGTTTTAAGGAGAGGGGGGGTACCATCACACTTGCAAATTTCTGTTAAAATAACCAATAATAATATATACTGCAATGGGATTTAAATATTTTTCATACCTGAGGTTTTTAAAATGTAGTTTTACCTATTAGTTCTGTGCCACTCAGAGTCATTTCGATGAAATGAGCAGCTCTATAAAGGTAAAGGTAAAGTCGTGCTAGTTGTTTCCTACTCTGCTCATCTCTATTTCAAACCCGAAGAGTCAGCCCTGTCCGGAGACATCTCCATGATCATGTGGCTGGCATGACTAAATGCCAAAGGCGCACAGAGCGCTGTTATCTTTCCCACCAAAGTGGTCCCTATTTTTCTACTTGTATTTTTACATGTTTTTGAACTGCTAGGTTGGCAGAAGCTAGGACAAGTAACGGGAGCTCACTCCGTTACATGGCACTAGGGATTCGAACTGCTGAACTGCCGACCTTTTGATCGACAAGCTCAGCATCTTGGCCACTGAGCTACCATAGCAGTTAGACTTATATACCACTTCATAGGGCTTTCAGCCCTCTCTAAGCGGTTTACAGAGTCAGCATATTGCCCCCACAGTCTGGGTCCTGATTTTACCCACCTCAGAAGGATGGAAGGCTGAGTTAACCTTGAGCCGGTGAGATTAGAACCGCTGAACTGCAGATAGCAGTCAGCTGAAGTGGCCTGCAGTACTGCACTCTACCCACTGCGCCATCTCAGCTCATTACCCATGTCCCTACCACAGCTCTATACATTTGATAAATAAATAATTTTTTAAAAAAATCTTGCAAAAAAGTTATAGTGCTCCCAGCTGTGTTAATCTGCACTACTTTGCAAGGCTAACAGAAATCTAATTTGTAGCATTGCTGTTGTAATCAATGAAAATAAAATAAGAATTACAAATGTTTTTTGCAATTTTCCAAGTGATTTAGAAATCTTTTATAATGCTTCCCCCTCCCCCTTTTCCCCCCCTCTTCATTGCAGGAAGGAAAATGCCTCTATGTCATTTTGGTGATGGCTATATATTGGTGCACCGAAGCGCTGCCTTTATCAGTGACTGCTCTTCTCCCTATAATTCTGTTTCCTTTCCTTGGAATTCTACCAGCCAGCAAAGTTTGTCCTCAATACTTTTTAGACACTAACTTCCTCTTTTTGAGTGGCTTGACCATGGCAGCTGCCATTGAAGAGTGGAATCTGCATCGTAGAATTGCATTAAGAATCCTTATGTTAGTGGGAGTCCAACCAGCCAGGTAAGTAACTACAGAAACAACTAAAACTAGAGTTTAGTTGTGTGCAAAATAAGAAAACAAGGGTTAACTCGCATTGCACTTGTCATAGTGATCTATCATGTAGCAGAAATGTGTGGATCCCAAATACATATTATTTGCTATATTTATTTCCTATCTTTTCTCCAGGAACAAAAGATGGCAAAAGTTTGTCTCTGTTTCCACTGTCTTCCTCTCCAAAACAACAATGCTGTGGTATAGATTGCGCACAATCATGCAGTAACTTTACCTGCCCTTTAACCCAAGTTTTCTTAGATTGATCCTAACGCCATTATGCCACTTTTTGTAAACATGTCAAGTTTGGATTTAGTCAGGTTCTTATGTATTTGTTGAGTTTGGATGATGAATAGCAATAGCAATAGCATTTAGTCTTATATACTGATTCATAGTGCTTTACAGCACTCTCTGAGTAGTTTACAAAGTCAGCATGTTGCTCCCAACAACCTGGGTCTTCATTTTACCAATCTTGGAAGGATGAAAGGCTGAATCAACCTTGAGCCGATCAGGATCAAACTCCAGGCTGTGGGCAGAGTGAGCTTGCAATACTGCATTCTAACCACTGTGCCACCGTGGCTCCTGTAAATTTGTATAAAAAGACTTCTATAGCATTTGCAAATAAGCTAGTATGGTATGGTGTGAGGTGTGGTGTGGTATGATGTATGATATGATATGATGTATGGTGTATGGTATGGTGTGGTGTGGTATGGTGTATGATATGGTACAGAGGTGAGTTCCTACCGGTTCGGCTGAACCAGTAGTAACTTGGCGGTCTGGGTTGCTGGAACTGGCAGCGACCCAGGTCTGCCATACTCCCGAACCACTTCTTTCGGTGGCACCATTTTGTCTTTACCTTCTGCACATGTGCAGAGGAATTTTTGTTGCACTGCGCATGTGTGCACAGAGCACAGGAAGCACGCGCACAGCTCCTTCCTGAGCAGACCGGCAGTAGTGGCAACCGGAACCCACCCCTGATATGGTATGGTGTACGGTGTACAGTGTATGGTATGGTATGCCCTGACAGCTCTGGGTGGCTACCCACATAGGAAAATACAATAAAAATAAACACAACTACTTGAAAGACTATGATAATGTAGGCTTACAATAAAGTAGAATTAGTTCATCTGATTGTGTTCCCTGTCTGGTTTACCTGGGAGAGCTGCCATTAGTCTTGCAAATCTGAAAGTACAGAATTCCCACCACCACTTTTAACTGTTTGATCCCAAGGGTGGGTCCTTCCTAAGTTTCTTTCTCTGATCGCTAAGTCTTTGGGAACTCCTGCCTCTCTTATCTGATTATTTCCTAGGCAGCATCTCTTCCCCAAGATCACCCGCATATTCCCTTACATTTTGAGACTCAGATTTACTTCTTTGCGATTTCATTTAGAAGTGCCCCACTTACACTTACGTTGGAGTTTTCTGGTGGAAAGAACTTCTAAGTAAACATCCCTAAAATTATACCATTCAACTGTCCCCTGCCTCTGGAATATTCTCCCTTCAGATTTCAGGATGACCCTGGCCCTGTTGCCTTTCACAAGGTTGCCAAGTCTTGGTTGTGTGCCCAGGCCTGGACCCTCAAATCTGTTAATGGTTGTAATAATACCCATAGTAACTGCTTTATTTAGTGCCATATGCATTCATTTTGTACAGTTTAGCTGGTTTTAATTGTTATTATGTCTTATGATGTACACTGCTCAAAGTCACTTGTTGAGATGGGCAACTATAGAAATAATAAAATAATAAATAAAACAAATAAAATAAAATGTCTAAACTAATTTTTCAACTGATTGTGGGATAAGCCTCATTCAACCCAATGGGTAGACTTGAGTAAATATATAAACCTCCCTTTGAAATGATGGAACCTACGTGATTTAGAAACATGAAAACTGAATTACAATGAAGATATATCTTTTCATTTTTAATGTATTTCCGATGTGGGAAAAGGGAAGTGATGAAAATCACATATTGCTTAACACAAATGTCAATGATTAAGTCACAGTGTAGCCAAGAGTCACAATCAAGAGCGAAATTATCTCTGTGACCATTTTTAGCATAAAGCGTGAATGAGAAATGATTCTAGAGAAAAAAGTTTCACAATTCAAAACATGTCTTAGGATAACTAATCAGCACCCATTGATTTAAACCCACCCATGGCGTTAAAGAAATATTTAATATTTGTTTCTATCCAAGGGTTCATCTGGGTGCAAACTTTCAGCCCCTGCCCTTTTCCCCAAGGGAAGCTGAGATGCTTCACCACAGATATGCTTTCTTGAAGCCAGCTATGTCTCAATGCTGACAAATGTTGATGATAAGAAGGAAGACCTACAGCCTAGACAATGGTCTAATAAATGAAAATTGAGCCTGAAAGAGGAGGCTTGATGAAAACATGACAGAAAGCACCCGCCATAGGTTTTAAAGAGAGGGAGGGTACCATCAGACTTGCATAATTCTGTTAAAATAACCATTAATAATATATACTGCTGATGGGATTTTTATATATTTCATACCTGAGGGTTTTTAAATGTAGTTTTACCTATTAGTTCTGTGCCACTCAGAGTCATTTCGATGAAATGAGCAGCTCTATAAAGTTAAAGGTAAAGATTCCCCTGCATATGTTTGCTAGTCGTTCCTGACTCTGCTCATCTCCATTTCAAAGCCGAAGAGCCAGCACTATCTGAAGACGTTTCCATAGTCATGTGGTGAGCATGACTAAAAGCCGAAGGCGCACGGAATGCTGTTACCTTCCCACCAAAGTGGTCCCCATTTTTCTACTTGCATTTTTACATGCTTTTGAACTGCTGGGTTGACAAACGCTGGGACAAGTAACGGGAGCTCACTCCATTACGAGGCACTAGGGATTCAAACCTCTGAGCTGCCCACCTTCTGATCGACAAGCTCAGCATCTTGGCCACTGAGCCATCACTTCCCTACTGCAGCTGACATTTGATAAATAAATAAATACAAATAATAAATGTAAATAATAAATTCAAAAGAAATCATGCAAAAAAAGTTAGACTTCATATCCCCAGCTGTGTTGGTGTGCACTACTTTGCAAGGCTAACAGAAACCTAATTTGTAGCATTGCTGTTGTAATCAATGAGAATAAAATAAGAATTAGAAATGTTTTTGCAATTTTCCAAGTGATTTAGAAATCATTTATAATGCTTCCCCCCTTTTTTTCTCTTCATTGCCTTCTCTTCAATCAACACTGTCAGTGTTGGTGGGGGTTCCATGTAGTGTTAAGCCCTCATTTTGCAGGTTTTCTCAGGACCCTACTCTCTTCCCATCTCACACCTATATGGGATGATGGCATCAGTTGGAATGGGTTTAATCATCATCAGTATGCTGATGATACTCAATTACATATACTACATCTACACCAGGCCAAGCAAGTGATGACATAAAGGTTTTGTCTACAATTCCAAAGAGTGTGAGGGACAGGAGGGGGAAGAAGAGGCTCTGATTTAGCCCTAGCGAGATTGAATGGCTACAAGTCTTAGGGCTCACTAAACCAGGGGATTTTCCAGCATTTGTTGTGGCTGGGATGGCATTCTCACAAAAAGTATCACAAAGAGTGTACATTTTCTCAGAACCTCAGCTCCAACTTGACAAACAGGTGGCATAAATCCATTACAGCTGTTCCTGAATTGGGAGACCCTACTTATCATGCCTTGGTCACTTTCTGTTCAGATTACTGTAACACAATCTATATGGAGTTGTACTAGAAGACTTATCAAAAGCTGTAACAGGTCCAGAATATGGCAGTGAGAATAGTTAGGAGTTCACTAAGCTATTTTCGGGTAACTTTACTTCTGCACAAGCTGCACAGACTCCCAATAGGCTTCCAGATGCAACTGAAGATGCTGGATAATGATAGTTTCATAGTTTCCTTTGTGGTGTATGTTTGGTTATAATCTCTTATTAGTTTGACACAGAGCAACATAAGGTACCCACAATTACTCATACTGCTGCAAGATTTCCTAGGACAGACTTGCTTAGAAAAATAATTCTCACTGAAAATAATTGCAAAACATCAAACCTGTTTAACATATTCTATGGATGTGACTCTCACCTGGACAACAGGAAAGGTGTTTCTATTCTCACAGGTTTCATTTTGTGCTTTAATCCCTGTAAATAAAGTCAGAGAGCCAGTCTGTCCTGGTGGTTAAAACATCAGACTAGAAACCAGGAGATTGTGAGTTCTAGTCCTATCCAGCACAAAATCAGTTGGGTGACCTTGGACCAGTCACTCTCAGCTGTGGGAACGAAGCAATGGCAAACCACTCCAAAAATCTCTTGCCAAAAAACCTGCAGAGACTAGTCAAGGCAATTGCCAAGAGTCAGAAAGTAAAATAAAGGCATTTTTGAGTCAATCTTAGCTCCCGGTGAGTACATGAACACACTTGTATTGCTGCCAATACAAAAGAGCTTTGTCATTGCCTTCTTTTAGCATCCCCCTCCCCCAATTGTTTAACTTATTCAACCATCCTGTGGTTTTTGGTATCTTTTATCCTAATACAAATTGGGTCTGTCCCAGCTCAGATTTTTTGAGATCAGCCAGGATTGGCTAATGTTGACATTTGGTGGGTTTTTAATATTTGTGTCTGGTTTTAAATCCTTTTCCTGTTAATCCCTTATAATTTGTGTTGTGCTCTGGCTCAGTTTTGCTTATTCACAGTCAGAACAGAGATGGTATCAGTTATAGTCCAATATATCTAGAAGTGCAGAGAGTAAAGAAGGGGATCTTGATGGAGCGAATAAAGGCAGCAAGCAGATAAATATTGTGGAAGCCCAAATGTGGCAGAGGAGATCTGAAAATGTCTCAAACAACAACCCTTCAAGTGAATTCACATGGACATAAAAAGACAGGACGAGAAGCACATTCAGACTTGCAAGACTCTGTTACTATAGCCATTCTTAACAAAAGTAGTTTTAGGCATATCTGACATCTGTTTCTGAGTCTGGCTATCTGGTAAGACTGACAGTAAGGCACCAAATTAGTATATTTAGTATATGCTGGTAGGTGATATTGCACTGTATTGATTAATCTAGAATGATGTCACCATGGCATTTTCTCAACTGAAATGGGAAAAAAAAGATTCTATAAGATCCTGAATTTTAATCTATTCTCTTCTCTTCTTTCAGGCTCATTTTAGGCATGATGCTAACAACTTCTTTCTTGTCTATGTGGCTGAGTAACACAGCCTCTACTGCTATGATGCTACCAATTGCATTGGCTGTTTTAAAGAGCCTTTTCGGAGATAAGGAAACATCTAATGACTGCAATAGGGTAAAAGAAGAAAATAAAGGTAAGTCTGATGTGTTCTTAAAAGTATACATCCATTTTTGGCGTGCATGTGTATATGGCATTGTATAGTATGGTATGGTGTGTATATGGTATATGTATATGTACAGTATATGTATATGTATATGTATATGCAAAGGGGTTCAGTGTCTCAGGGGTTAAAGATGCTGAACTTGTCAGCTGGAGAGCTGACAGCCTGGGTTTAACCCAAGAGCTATGCAATAAGGTGAGCTCCTGTTACCTACCCCAGTTCCTGCCCACCTAGCAGTTCAAAAGTGGGTAGATTAATAGGTACCATTTCAATGGGAAAGAATAGCATTCTGTGCATTTGGCCACATGATCACAGAAATTGTCTTCAGACAACTCTGGCTCCCTCAGCCAAGAAACAGCGATAAGCACTGTGCCCTAGAATCTTTATATCAGACGGGGGTTGCTCCCGGTTATGACCAGTTTGGAGAACCGATAGTGGTAATTGGGCATGGGTTGCCAAACTGGTAGTGATGACTGGCTAGCCATGCACCTGAACCGGCCCGCTTAGATGCTCGCCCTGCCTCGCCTTCGCCACGTGCATCCACACAACTGCCTCATCCTGCCTACACACAGGTAAGCAACATTCGCGCTAGCCTAGCCCTCCTTCCCCACTGGCCAGCATTTCCCAAACCACCGCTGTTGCAGCCTGGCAAACTTCACATGCTGGAGAGGGCAGCAGCAGGAGGAGAGGACAGTAGGAGGAGAGGACAGTGGCGGTAAGGAGAGCAAGATTAGCGTGCTCCCAGCCACGCCCTGTGGTGCCTCCATTCACTGGCTCAGGGCAGTGGCTCAGCTGCAGCCTGGACGAGCTGAGGAAGTGCGGAGAGCCTCCCGTGTGTTGCAGAGTAAGGCCAGCCTTTCCCTGTGCCTCCGCGTCTCCTGAAGCTGCCACCGTTGTAGCTGCAATGGGCACAGGGGCAGCTTGGAAAATGGCACAGGGGTGTGGGTGAAGGCTGGGATGCAACATGCAAGGGGCTCCCTGCAGCCTCAGCTCATCTGGGCTGCCCTAAGCCAACGGAGGCACTGCAGGGCGCAGCTGGGAACTCACTAACCTTGCCCTTCCTGAGCGCTGGACTTCGCTGTTGCCATCGACCCTGCCCAGCTTGCCCCCATCTTGCTTCCAAGTTAGGGGGCAGCCGCCATTTCCCCATGCCCTCCTGATTGCCAGCATCTCCAGGAGCTCGGAAACAATGTGAGAACAGAGCACTTTTCAGCTCTGATTGGCTGGCAAGAAGAAAGAGCTGCAGTTGCTGCCATCTTCATGCATACACGCATCCTTTGGACATGCAGGTTCAAGGTATGTGCATGCATAAAGATGGTGACAGCTTTCTGTCCTCACCCGGCACCGCCATGCTCCTGGGGGTTACCCATTTACCTACGGGGTCTGCGGTGGCTGAGAAGTGAACCAGGCAGAGTGCCACTTGCACTCCATGAGACTGTCAGACTGGAGGAAGGAAATGGCCATTCAGACGGTCCTACCCAGCATCCCTGGCCCGGGACCCTTTCAGAGACAATGGACCCAACAGAGGCAAGCACTCCTCTCAGTGGGGCAGCCATGCTTGTCTGCTCCTTGCCCAAAGCCTCACCATTCCCTGTTCAGCCAAGCATGGCTCACCTGTACTGGGAAGCACCTGACGGCACCTGGTGGCACCCTCATGATGGGTGTTCGGTTGTGGTGCTGCATCCTCCAGCCCAGATAGAGCCAGAGCCAACTGAGCACTCTCTGCACATGGGCCGATCTGGAGCCTCAAGGCCTCAGCTTGAAGGCACACACCCGGGCTAGAAGTGCCACGCAACTGCCCACCCATTGCCATGGAGACCCACCAGTGCTGCCGGTGCCTCCTGGCGCAGATGAGCTACGCTTGGCCGGGTGTGTGTGTCACGAGGCTTTGGGCCAGGAGCAGACGAGCACAGCTGCCCCACCGAGAGGAGCGCTTCCCTCCATTGGGTCCATTATAGCAATAGCAATAGCAGTAGACTTATATACCGCTTCATAGGCCTTTCAGGCCTCTCTAAGCGGTTTACAGAGAGTCAGCATATTGCC